CTGGCATATATTAGAGATATTGCATGCCGCAAATTGTTTACTTGATTTTAAATAGAATAACATAAAATTGACACTAAATAAGAAGAATTATAATGCTTTACGTGAGGGACTTAATTAATGTAATTATAATACTCCTTTCGTACACACTTGCTACCCGTCATATTAATTGTGTATGAATTTCATCAAATGGTATTAATAAGTAGTATTGTGAAACAAACGTTCTAATACAGCTTTTTATAATTATTCTAGTGACACCGTGGTTCTGGACGTGGAAACGTGCGGTTTTATTGTGCGTTATAACTTTAATACTTCTAGCTGTTGTAATGTCCATAACTGTACATTTCACTCATAAATCAGACGCATCGGTCTCCTCGAAAATTCCAATCTCATTGCTCGATGGTAATTGTCTATCTGGAAAATGTTTTATTTTGCAAGCGTGACATAAAGCAAGCGTTATATGTTATCACGATCCCGGCAATTATAGACCCCGACAAGGTATCCCCGTTATCCGGCTACTACAAGGTTGTGTGCTATTTCACAAATTGGGCCTGGTACCGAGATAAAATCGGCCGTTACATGCCGGAATACATCGATCACACTCTATGCACGCATATAGTGTACGGCTTTGCAGTGCTAGATAATTTCAAGCTGGTGATTAAGGTGAAAGACTTTTGGGCGGACTACGAAAATCATTTCTACGAGAAGGTGGTAGCGTATAAAAAGCGGGGTCTTAAGGTGCTTCTCGCGCTGGGCGGGTGGAATGACTCCGCCGGCGACAAGTACAGCCGATTATTGGTGAATAGTCCATCCGCTAAAAAGAAATTCATCAATCATGCCATTCAGTTTATCGGAAATTACGGCTTTGACGGATTGGACTTGTTTAGGGAGTATCCTGTTTGCTGGCAGGTGAGCGCAATTTTTTTTATTTACATTCCGTCAAGTAAGAACGTAGTCGCTATAACTCGCAGTTGGTAAAAGCTATACTCCTGATTCTTGCATGAGTTGATAGAGGATACTTTTCTTCTTAATGCTTTGCGAAGAAAAACTCAGTTGTCGTTAAAGTTTTGCCACAGCAAAACATAAGCGTCGCATGAGTGCCGCGTACGCGTCGGGCTTCGGGCTGTATTACGTGTTACACACAATCTGAATGCGGACAAAATTTTGGAAATCTGTAAAAAGGCCTTGTTACTATCTGTCTACTCGTGGTTTATAAAAAGAAGAAATGAAGACTGGATCCTGCAGGTGGATGATGATCCGAAACACCGAAGCAGACTCTGTACTGATTGTGAGTTGAAGGAGCAATCTGGCATCAATCAATTGGATTGGCCGTCACAGTCGCCCGATGCAAATCCAATAAAAAATGTTTGGGCATATATTAAGCATAAGCTTCGTGAAAGACAAATATTCAGTTTAAAGCAATTATCTTGAGAGTTTCGTTGGAGATATGGAGATCCTTGCCGCACGAATAGTGCAAAATATGCCTCGGAAATGTTAGTCAATTATCGACGCCGATGGTGACTGGACACATTAATGTAATTGCATCTTAGCTTTATACTAATCAAATAGAATGTATCTATATATGTATTTCAAAATTTTGCTAACTCAATTTTTCTATAAATTAGGCCGACCACGCTCTTATATACTTGACAGACTGTAATAATATTAATACAAGCGTTCGAGTTCTTATTCATCATTGTCCTTTTTTCGTGTTTTGTTCTTTATTTTATCTCTCTGGAAATATTTTAAATAATATTTTAAGATTTAAATATAAAATTTAGATAGTATTTTATATCTTTATTTGAAGTTCTGTTTTTCGTATTTTTTGTATGTAATCTTGCAAATTATTTACCTATAATCATTTTCAGTTATTAAAAATTTTTTTCAAATTTTGGCAACAGGGAAATTGCAACAAGGGTCCAGATTCGGATAAAGAGAGCTTTGCAGCTATATTGCGGGAATTAAGCGCTGTATTCAAGCCAAAAAAATTGCTTCTCTCGGCAGCGGTCTCGCCGGACATGCAGGTGATTGACAAGGGCTACGACGTCCCGGCGTTGGCCAAGTATTTGGACTGGATCACCGTCATGGCGTCTGACTATCACGGAGAGTGGGACAATCGTACCGGTCATGTTGCGCCTTTATTTTATCATCCGGACGATGAGAAGTACTACGATGAGATGTACTACTTGAACGCTAACTATTCGATCAACTATTGGATTTCGAAGGGTGCACCACCCAGGAGCATTGTTATGGGCA